TCACCGCACCCCACCCCACCCCCTATCTAACCACTCCCTGTCCCCTGACTGCCCCCCAAGATTCCCTGCCCTTTATCCAACCTCCCCAGCCCTTTACCATGCCGCTCAGAGCAGCAGGACTGGCTTATTAGAAAGCCTGGGAGGTGGGCAGGCGCAAGCCGCGCTGCCTGGCAGGCCAGAGCATTCCCCACATGACTGCGGGGGAGGGGCTGGGGGCTAGCCTCCGCAGCCGGGAGCTCAGGGGCTGGGTGTGGCTCACAGGATGTAGTTTGCCTACCTCTGATCTAGTAGTTATGTTACTGAGGTCAGATTCCTCATTTCAAGTCTCTGTTTCAAATCAGGTAGTGTGGGGATTTGAACCCATGTCTCCCACATCATAGGTGAATGCTCTAATGACTTGTGGGGGGAGGGTGATGTGGCACTGTGTTCTATGTGAGTTAGGCATGCTTTGAGAACATCTGTGGGATTGAACCCCTCAGGCAAGCTAGGTGGGGGAATACCTGCCTGAGAATCCCCCCAGGGCCTAGGGGTGAGCTAGGGTCCTGGCTTTCTGGAAGAAATTTGGGCACCTACAGGTTTAAGTGGCAGCAGAGCAGGATCTAAATTTTGGATTTAGGTGCATCAAGTGGCTGTTAAGTATCTAAATTTATTTTGGATCTAGCCCCCAAGACAGAAGAGTAGTCACCTAAGCACCATAGGAGTTGACCAGTTTTTTCTGAGCGTGGACTTCTACATGTGTAGAAGTTGTGGGCACAGCCTTACAGTCCTACTACATATGGGCTCTCTGCTAATCTGCTGGGGCCGAGCAGAGTAAAGGCAAAGGACAGCACAAGATGCTGAACCTGAGTGGAGTAAAGAAGAGAAGGTGATAGAGGGGATGCATATTGAGGAAGCAGATGTAAATGACTGATGTTGGGGAGAGGGGGCTTCACAGACATTGTTGGAAAGTGAAGAAGTGTTCAGCTGAGCAGTGGGGAAATAAGTGTTTGCAAAGGAATATACATAACATGTGAATAGTGAACTCAATGCTGATGACAGATATAAGAAGTGAGGTGCTGATTTTGAAGTTGAGTGAGGGAGATCAGGAACCTGATGAGCTTGTCCACAGAGGAGGGGGAGGTTTCTCTAGCCTCTGATGGTGGGAATGCCTCCTCTGAGAAGAAAGCCAGAAATCAGTGGGACACTGCTGAGAGTAGAGGTGGGAGTAAGGCAGCCTGATTTCATATGGATAGATAATCTTGTGGAGAATGACTGAGTTCAAAGCAGCAGGGTTTGGGGGAGAATTATCTTGCTCAGAGGAGGATCTACAATGAGGGTCCTGTGTAGGACTCCAGGTTTGGTTCTGAATCAGGTAAAATTCCCATTGTTTAAACTCCTGCTGTCCTTCCTCCGGGCCAAATTCTGCATGGTCTTTATGTGGCTGTGCAGTGGGTGAGGAGGGCATAAGAAGCCTACCCCTCTTGTAAAGCCTGCATAAGGACCAATCCTTGCTCTCAAGAGATGTAGGGACTGCACCATTCCTGATCTGCCGAGTCACACAGTGCTATAAAGGGAGCAGGGAATAGTGGACCATGGTTCCTTGCAGGCATAGGGTTGCCAGGTGTCCAGTTTTCGACTGTGCTGACCAGGCCATTAAAACTCCAGTTGGTGCTCCCTATCTGGCTCCGTGCAGCTCCCGGAAGCAGTGACATGTCCCTCTAGCTCCGTAGAGGGACAGCCACGGGGGCTCTGCATGTTGCCCCCACCCTGAGCGCCAGCTCTGTAGCTCCCATTGTCCGGGAACCACAGACAACAGGAGCTACATGGATGGTGCCTGCATGAGGAGCCGCCTGGCCTCCCTGATGCCTAGGAGCCGAGGGACATGTCGCTGCATCAGGGGAGTCCCCAAAAGGAAGTGCTGCCTGGAGCCCTCACTCCCTTCCGCACCCCAACCCCCTGCCTCATACCAGAGCCCCCTCCCACACTCCGAACTCCTTGGCTCCATTCCCCAGCCCGGAGCCCTATCCTGCACCTCAAACCCCTCATCCCAGGCCTTATCCAGAACCCACACTCCTGCCCCAACCCAGAGCCCCCTCCCACATCCTGAACCTCTCATTTCTGGCCCCACCCCAGAGCCTGCACCCAGGCCACAGCCCTCACCCCCTCCTCTACTCCAACCCCCTGTCCCAGCCCGGTAAAAATGAGCAAGTGATTGAGGGTGGGGGACAGCAAGTGGCAGAGGGAGGGGGGATGGAGTGAGTGGGGGGCAGGGCCTTGGAAAAGGGGCAGGAGGGGAGCAAGGGTGTTCAGTTTTGTCCAATTAGAAAGTTGGCAACCCTATGCAGGTGGAAAAAGTTTAATTCCTTAAAAGAGCAGGCATGCAGTAGGCTGTGTGCACCCAGGAGGCATTCTGAATGCCACCTGCTGCTCTCCCGCTGTGGTGCAGATCTGTACTCCCTATTATTATGGACTGAGTCTACAAAGCACAACAAAGTTTATTATTTACCTAGCAAAATTATTGCTGAAGCCAGCTGGAGTCAATGAGAATCTTGATTGAAAAAGTAATTATTAAAAATAGGGAAAGGGTTCAATTATTCTCAAGGCAGGATTGATCTTTTTTTTTGTTTATTTTCTAGATAGATACTGAGATCTGTGTAAGACATTCCCCATACCTACAAACAATACAACGTTTGGTCAAATGTAAGGATTCACCTATCTGAATAGGTGTCTCTTTAATGTTAACATACAATGAGACAATAAAAAATTAAATTAATTTGCAGATAAATGAATATCTGTGACATGCTTTATACTGAAATGACAAAAAAAAAAAGGTCTTTGGTGCCCAGCAAAAAACACGGAGTGACAGATTTACCCTTTAGACTGAAAAAAAATCACATGATCGTAGTTTATAGGATTTACAACTTAATCCTTGTTCTGCTCTTTTAATGAGACCTTACCTGGATGGAATGTTTCTTCTTCTTTTTGTGATCTTACGAAATAAGATCTTACAAAATAACATTGCAAGGGGGTTTGGAAAGGAAAAAATAAGATACCTTGGTATACCATGTTTTAACTGATAATACTTCAGCATCTTTCATCCACAAAGACAAACCACATTGATTTTGCTCAGTGCACCAGTCCGAATTGCAAGAAGCACTGCATATATTGGAAAACTGTTTCTAAAAATAATGGCCCAGATTCTAAACTGGTGGCATTCTGCATAGCTCCGTTGACTTAAATAGAGCTACAACAATTTTCAACCACTGAAGCTCTGACCCAATGAGTATTTCTGGTGCTGACCATCTTCATTTTATAATTGTAGTATACTGGAACATAATTGTTATATTTGTATCACAATTCCCTTTGTATTTGGTCTCATAAAACATAATGTGTCCTATTACAATGTGTGGATCAAGCACTGATGTACTATGATGGTCACAAAAAGGAAATAATCTAGTTAATAAATGTATAACTAGATAGGCTGGAGGCAATACTGATCTCTTAATATTCAGTGCTAAGGCACACCGTTTACTGTAGTTAGATTTCACTTGTTATTGCCCCTTACTAATTTATTTCCTTGGATAACGGTTCTTAAACTTCTTGTTACCTCTACCTTAAAACTCTGTATATATTTACTTTTAAAAATAAAGGAAAATAAAAACTTGCTGACTGTCTTTTAAGTTGTGTGGAAGCCCAATGTACATCCCAAATCACGTACATTTAGTTAGTTGTCTATTATCGTAAGCACAGACTTCAGCTGCTAAGATACATGTTAATTTCATATATGTTTCATAGCTAGTCGGTGGTCAGAAATGCTTTTTAGCTTTCAAACACGGAGACAACTGGGCAAAGCATTTTCCTGTAACTGATGAATTTAATGATTAGTGACCAGATGTCCATGCCATGAAAAGAGGTATTAGCTGGAGTTTAAATACCTGTAGGCTACTGCCTGCCTCTTTCTTTGAACAGTGAAAGAATATAAATATCTGACTACGATGAACTTTGTTAATATATCTTTTGACTATTTCTTAAGAGCAACATGATAGGGACTCAAAAGATTGCTGATAATTAGAGCTCTTCATCAATTCAAAACTGGCCAGGCTAATAGAGACATGAAAGCATTATGCAGCTGGTATCTGTAGTATGACCGATGTTAAATGTTTGGTGAGTCCCAAGTGGAGAGACATTCATGTAGTAAAAACTACCATTGGAAGCATCACTGCTTGGCAGTCTCATCAGTGAGGTCAAAGGCTAAAAGTGCACAGAGACTTCTCTTTTACTTCTACAGATGTTGTACACAGAATTGACCTGAGACACACTGATGAGGCAGTAGGGGTAGATGGCAGAAGCTATTCTGTCTCCAGTGCAATCAGACTTGCACATTTTAGGAGCATAAAATTTTATTAGAAAAAATAAAGAAGAACATAATAAAAACCATAGCCATGAGGTAAATGGACACAACTCCCTACTGACTTCACTGGGCTATACCATGGCTAAATTTGGCCTACAAGCATCAATTTTAAAGTTTTTACAGGTAAGTGAAACCAAAAGCCTTTAATGCCCAGGCTGGCAAGCAATACCTTTATTGTATTTTGAGTTTTAGCAAATTTCATTATTCAAGTTTTACATATAAACTTAGCATTCATGGTGGTTCAGTTGGTTAGTATATTGTTATGTTTAGAGACCTGAGTTCCAATATTGCAAACATCAAAACATGTATAAGTCAATGTAGGATCTTGCCCTGTTTCTGTTACTCTAAATTACAAAGCTTGTTTCTGTTACTCTAAATTACAAAGCTAGGTACTCTTGCCAGTGATGTTGGTCCCTCACCTTCTTAAATTCCCAAATGTATTCACTAATATACTAAAGAAAAAAAGAATGATCCCAACAACAAACCACAGAACATATTTAAAGAAGACCTTAATTTTATGTCTCATCAGTGGACACAAATTTTAATATGAAGCATTCCTAAATTTTATATTTATTTTTCTAAATGCATGTTAATTTCTTATTTATTTCAGGCATTACTAGAGACTCAAAATTTACTGCGCACTCAGGTTGCAAATTTTACCTTCAACCTTGGATTTTCAGGAAAGTTTTACCACACAGGTAAGAAGGAACTTTGTGCTCTCAGGTAGCTACAATTAAATAGATATCAGGATTTTAAACCTAGTTTTTAGCACTGTCTATTTATCATTGCTGACTCAGAGAAGCAATGGGAAAGTGCTGTGTTCCATCATATCAGGTATTTAGTGTCCGAACCAAGGCCCACTGAAGCAATGGAAGGAATCCCACTGACTTCAAAAGTCTTTTGATCAGTCCCTGAAGGACATGAAGTGTTTTTGCATTTCCTGTCAGTCTTAGGGTGATAAGGAAAGCAAATTAACTGACAACAATTCTGTAAAGACAGGACAGCATGGGTGTCATTCCAGGCTTTTTGCAATATCACAAGTGCAATGAAAAGCATGAGTGCCACAATCTCCTAAGAAGCAGCAATATTTGAATGTGACACACACTGTGACGTGTCTCAATATGATTAGAAAGCAACCCTGTAGCAATAATATTAGGAGAAAACCTTAAAAATTGTAATTGTCTTTAAAGTCCTCATTATGCCAAAATCTTCATTAAAACAAATTTTAAATTGAAATAAAACATATTTTTCCTTACTAACTCTGAGTAACCAATAGATTCCTCTTACCCACCCAATATTTCTCTGAAAGATTAGCATTGCCTGATTCAGCGCACTTAACTGTCTCCTTCACATACGCTTCTCTCTGCCTCAATTTTTCTCCCTTCCACTTTCTCAATTTTCCTCCCTTTTTAAACCACCTTGGTAACCCTTCTGCCCTGCCCCATCCTGTCCCTCCATTCAGACTGCCCAGCTTCTTCACTGTTTCCTCCCCCACCATCACTTACATGACACCCAGTACTGGGAGGACCAGTAGGATACGCACTCAATCATTTATTTGAACTGAGGCAATTTCCAGAGTATTCCATTTTAAGTCTAGCATTTTTTCCTGTTTGAAGTGTCACCTCTAGAATACATAGTTTCCCAACTAGGTCAACCATACTGCAAAAGGGACTGTTGGTTGCATTATATTAAAGAAGCTGGGAAACTTGACTGGAGTTGGAGAAGCAAAAGGATACAGGCATAAGCTTAAAAAGCTAGGAACTAGAGTTTGTGTATGTTGGGAGATGGGAAATAAAAGGGTATGGAGGAGAGAAGTTTGAGAGAGGAATAGAGTAAAGAAGCCAAAACTATTATTTATTTGTACTTATTTGTGTTTATTATTTATTTGTAACACCTACCTCCCGCAGCTGAAATCAGGGCCCCGTTGTACTAGACACTGTGCAAACACATAGTGAGAGACAATCCCTTCCTAGAAAAGTTTACAGACCAAATAGACCAGACAAAGGGTGTGAGGGAAAAGAAAGATGAAATGATTTGCTGCAGATCATACAGCAAAGCTGTGACAGAGCTGGGAGTAGAATTTAGGTCTCTTGAAACCAACTGAAAAGCTTTTCAGAGAAAGTTGACAGGCGCTGGGGTATAAAGTGATATTAAGGAAAAATTGCAGGGAGTTGCTGTAGCTAATGTTGCTCTTCATGATCATGGACCAATTGGTCCTTGGTCAGGTGTTACTTAGTCTTTATTCAGGAAACTCTCAGTGAAATCAGAAGTTTTGTCCAAGTATGGAGGACTAAATAAGGATGTCAGTATTTTGCCCACTGCATCTTAACCTGCTTGTATAACTATTTCTTACTGGTATTATCTATAATAAGGTGAGTAAAACAAAAGTTGACCATTATATTGTGCTTGGAATAGTAGGATGCTGTTTAATAATGCCCCACCATAGAGTTCCATAGACATCAGTTCTTCATGTAGATGCTGTTTGCCCACCCCAGCAAGTGCAAGAAATGCAAAAGGGGAAAAATCAATGGGGAAAAGAAAATTTATTTTGAATATTAATGGCAAATTAATATTAGTAGTGGTATTAGGGGCTTTTTTCAGTTCAAAATACTGACTTGCAATTTTGGTTTATTTCTTTTTGTTAATCTTCAGTTTCCTCTCAATCCACCACAATTCACTAAAAATTACTTCATGTGTAATCTTCAGGTTCTCTTCCCAGTTGATTTGAATATGATCAATATTTCATTTGTAACTGGCATAGAGAGAATGTGTTCATGTGTATGTATGTGTGTTCTCCAGAGATTTATAAGGGTTACTAAAATAGTACAAAGTTACTTAATGAGTTGAGGCATGCCATTGGCTCCATTAAGAGACTTGCTGCAGTCTGTACTCAGTGATGAATGTGAGTTCTAAAGTGAGCACTTCATTCATGGGGTGATATTGTTGTTTTGTCACATCGACTTAGTTTCCAAGTGTTCTCCATGCAAACATACACTTTGTTAATGCATTATAAATGAAACATGGAAAGGTATTCTTTAATTACCGTAAACATGGCTTGATTACCCAAAAGAGGCTTTTAATGTAAGATGCACATCTGTTTTATTAGGACATTAACTGCTGTGCCTTATTGACTTTTCCTTAATGCACAATTTTGTAGTCCTTCCAAAACTCTGATCAGTTGAAAACTACAAGAAGGAAATAATCATGTGAATCTGTTAGCAAATTAAATAATTATATAAATTAATCAGGAGATCACTGACCTGTACTGCACCTGTGCCTCTTAATTTGGGTGCCCACATATACTTAGGATAGCTATATACTAACCATATACACTAATTGCTTATATTCTTCATGCTGACACCCATTTCTATTAACAGGCAATTGAGTGATATAGGAAAATTGTACCATGTTTGCTGGTACCTTTTAGTCTACAAGTGCACAGTTTACTAATAGAAGTAAACTGTGCATTTGTAGACAAAAAGACACCAGGAAGAGTTGGCTAGTGTCTATTAGTAATCCAGAGTAAGTATGCATTTCCTGTGCATATATATATACCGTTATCTGGGTATGTGAGTTAGTGTTCCCAGGATCTGCCAAATTAACTGCTCATAACTTTTAAACTACTGACTCTTCTTCAAACATGGCTTCAGTTTTAAGATTGAAAGAGACTTCTAAAACAAGAGATGTCTGAAGAAAATCTTAAAGTAGCATTAGAATTTTGGAGCATTTAATGTCAGTAAACCAGTTTGGGAAAAGTGTGCACTTACCTAGCTGTGCACAGATGCACAACGTTTCTCTCTGAAAATGCATGTCCACTGATTTAATGAAAACTACTGCACCTTTTCACTTCATAATATTCAAATGCTCATTACGACAGCTGTTGGAAAATGGGGAATTTATTTTACAGAAAATTCTGACTTTTCATTAGAAAAAATAAAACCCAAAACCTTTTTGTTTTTCGACAGACACTTTCTTTGAAATTTTTCATTTTTTTTAAATACACACAACAATTTTCCATTTTAAAAAAGTTTAATAAAAGTTTCCATTTATTAAAAAGTTTTTAATAACTTTCTATTATTTTACGAAATTAAAATTTTATTTTTAAAGGCATACCAGGGTAATAGGTCTCCATACCAAGTTTCAAACCTCAACCATTTTTGTTGTTTTCTTGCAGCTCTGCCTTAAGGGTGTTTTGGTTTTTTTTAATAAAAGGAAGTATTGTGTTTTACCACAGTGAAAAAATGGTTGACATATTGTACTCAAACTTTATTTAAAAAATTAATCATCAGGAGGAGACTACCCCAGGAAAATCTGAGTCCAAAAATGAGTTTTGTGAAAAAAAAAGTTTTGTTCATCTTACTCTAATTATTTTACATATTCACATATTATTGCTTCCTATATTCTAACTTTACTTCATTCTTACTTATATTATGTTAAATGCCTGATTTAAACTTACCCTAGTCCTATGTAACATGGCTAATATCTATCTTTCTCCTCTCCATCCCTACTTCTAAAACCCTGAACCAAACTCGAGTCTTTTCCGCTTGGACTATCAAAGTGTTTTTCTCATGTTCTCCCAGACTCTCATCTCTCTCCCTGCTGGACCCTTTCAAAAACATGTTTCTAATATCACCATCCTCTCCTGCCTCTCTGACAATGTCTCCCGCCTGTATATATGTGTGTGAGTATATAAAACATGAACAAATACATGTTTATTAACCAGAGTGCATACCGAAATAACAGCCACCAACCTTTCTTTTGAACAAGCAATTGTTTTCTTTAAAAGAATTAGAATGGAGTATATCTCAAGAGAGGTTTCAGAGGAACAGCCGTGTCATATAATGTACTTGGCATGTGTTCTTCTACTTGTACTGTGCCACAAATAATAGTATATAGATAGATTAGTAGAGCACCAAAAGAAAGAGATAGTGATACACTCATTGCACAGAAATATTCTTCAAAACATTGCAGAGATTAAATACAAATGAAAATAATACATTGAACACTTATCTTTCTAATACCTGCAGTGAAAGCGAATAAGGATGACTACAAACCACTTTCTTTGTAATTTAGTTTTGCAAAGTGTTGAAAGACTTCTAAAAAAGAAAGCAATCTGTTTGTGAAAAGTAAAGATATGTCTTAAGCTAAATAAAAGCAGTTAAAATAAAATGGTGAAGGAACTAGAAAAATGCTTCCAGTAAACTAACTGAAGTTTTAATACTTGATTTGTGGATGAAGTTAGTGAGATTTAATGTAGCCATTCATATTTTTAAAAGCACTGGGCTATCTGTCTGCAGACTCTAGAAAGTAGCCCTATGTCATTTCTCATTTTGAAGATGTTCTTTGTTGTAACCACTTGAGTTGTTTAAAATAACTGGCTTTTCAGTTCATCGGCAGTTCTGAAAAATAGAAGAAAACAACATTTGTTTTGGGTCAAGCAAAATGAAACTTTTTTTGAAGGACCTTTGAAAATGAAGGGCTAGAATCACTAGGGGACTCCACCACTGTTTTGTGAATGGTGCTTATGTTGATGATGGTGCCCCCATATGCTCAATTAGGGACTTATAAGTAAGTGCCTTACTCTATAGTCCTGTGGTTATTCTTGTGTAGGGCTCTCTCAGTCACTTCTGTTGAAGCTGTTCCACTTACTCTCTTTAATATTAAATATTCATTCGGCCTCCAAGAGAAAAAGAATGACTCTATAGTCTGGTGGTTTGAGCACCCACCTAGGAGGGAAAGACCTGGCTGCAAGTCTCTGCTCCAGAGCAGGGACTCAAACCTAAGTCTCCCACATCCTAGCTGAGTATCCTAAGTATTGGGCTATCATGTGGGGGGGAAGAGTCATCACCTTCTCCTACTTAGTTTTCCGAATGGCACCAAGTGCCCTTGTGACTCTAGCCCAAAATCAGAATATTTAATTTTTAAAATGTCAATATGAATTATTTTGACATTTCCATTTTATTTTCTTTTTTCTCCTGAAGCAATTTGCAGAAACCGACACAAATTGCGAAGTATTTCAGTTGACCTGAATTTGCATTTTTCAGAGAAAAAAGTTTCAGAAAAAAAATTGCACGCAATCTAGTAACCATATGTGTTTTCTTCTGCCTGAATTGTGGCACACGTCTTCACTAACGTGGGCTATTAACTTTCATTTAAAATGAAAGCTTAAATTCCGCAAAAAATATGTCATACCAAGAAAAACTCTACCCTGCACTTGAAAGTTGAGTAGATTTTTTCAAAGCCCTGTTATAGCTTTATTTTACTGCCTAGTTACTTTATAACACTGTTCCATGTTTCTCTTGATTCTGATTTTATCAAAATATATCAGACTTCAATTTGATGAGGCTCTTAGTGGGAGTTTCTTTTGGTTTTGTTTTGAGCTTTCATAAAATGTAAATGTCTGGTTCCTACTGCTGCCTCTGCATATATACCAGCCCAGATAAATATGCTCTTTCACCTAAGGATCACATTAGTACTAAACCAAAAGTCAGCCATAGCGCATGAGAAAAAGTAGTTCAGCTCTGGCGCGCTCTTCTCCTGGTAGCAATTCAAAGCCTTTGAAGATCAAATGAGAGAGATCATGATTGCCCACTTTCCAACAGTAGGCAACATGGACTTTTGGTTACTCCTTGAACTTGGTTCTCCCTTTGAGCCTGCCCTTGAAAGTTAGTTGTCATTGTTATAAATTAACATAATATAAGTGGGGAGAGAAGTACCAAACATAACTCTTCATAGCATCATTTCCTGAACACAGCAGTGTAATTGCACCAAATCTATGGCATTACAGTCGGTGAGGCAGTCATCAGTTTGGTTTAAAAATGCAGTTACTTGCACCTTTCACTGTACAATTATTATTTTTTCTTTTTTATTTTGCAGGAACTGAAGAGGAGGATGAAGGCGATGACCTGTTGTTGGGGTCTGTGGATGAGTTCTGGTGGTTTCCTCATATGTGGAGTCACATGCAGCCTCATCTCTTCCATAATGAGTCATCACTGGTGGAGCAGATGATTCTCAACAAGGACTTTGCACTAGTGAGTAAAATTTATAAGAAGGTGTGATAGGCTGCAAGTCCTCCTTAGTCAGGAAAGAGTTAATTGGCTGTGCCTGGGAGGGGGTGGCAATTAACCCTCCCCCATGACACCTGAAGTTGGGGTAGGCTATGCTGGAGGAGCTAAAAAGGGGAAACCCACTCACTTGATGCCTGGCTGAGAGGGAGAGGAGAACTGCAGCTCTTACTGTGGGAAAAGAAGATTGGCTGGGTCCAAGAGCCAAGTAATACAGCTGCCTATTAGGGCCTTCCTGAGGGAAGGGGAGAGTTTGTATTTCTTCATGTTTATACTGGGCATTGGATACCCTGGAAGTGGGAAAGCTATGACACCTCACCTCTGAAGGTGTTGGAGGCTGGGTCAGTCAGTGCAAGATCAGGAGGGAAACAGAAGTGGAGCTCTTGCTGCCCTGTGCCATGCTATGAGGAGGAAAAGGGGAGGGTGTGTGGTCACCAGGGTATAGACTCTTCACCCACTTCACTAGGAAGTGCTGGAAAAAAATAGGAGGCTTTACCTATGATGTGAACCAAGCCTGGCATTGGAAATGCCTAGCTAAAAAAGGAATTTAGACTTAGTTTTGCCACTATTTTATTCCTCATTAAGAAGTAACCCCTTTTCTTAAATAACCAACTGGCTGCTTGTTGGCCATGTAATGCCTTCAGGGACAGTCAGTTAGCCTATTCCTCCACCTTGTAGCTTAAGGAAGACAATTAGAAATAGGCAATCTGCTTCCTGATATACAGAACAGATATATGGGGCAGAGTCAGGGGCTGGACGGAGAACATTAAGTGAACCCCTCATTTCACCCAAAGGATTGCATAGACTTGGACAGGTTTCAGAGTGGTAGCCATGTTAGTCTGTATCAGCAAAAATGAGGAGTCCTTGTGGCACCTTAGAGACTAACAAACTTATTTGGGCGTAAGTTTTTGTGGTCTAAAACCCACTTCATCAGATGCATGGAATGAACAATACAGTAAGTAGGTGTATATACACAGCTAATGAAAAGATGGGAGTTGCCTTACCAAGTGTGGCGATCAGTTCTAACAAGGCCAATTCAATTATGGTGGAAGTGGCCTCTTCTCAAGAGTTGACAAGAAGGGGTGAATATCAAGAGAGGGAAAATTACTTTTGTAGTGCTGACAAAACCAATGCAATCAAGATGGATGTTGGCCATTTCCAACAGTTGACAAGAAGGTGTGAGTGTCAGCAGAGGGAAAATTACTTTTTGTAGTGACCCATCCACTCCCAGTCTTTATTCAGGCCTAATTGGATGGTGTCCAGTTTGCAAATTAGTTCCAGTTCTGCAGTTTCTTGCTGAAGTCTGTTTTTGAAGGTTTTTTGTGCTCTACTACTGGTTTTTGAATGTTACAATTCTTGATGTCTGATTTGTGTCCATTTATTCTTTTGTGTAGAGACTGTCCGGTTTGGCCAATGTACATGGCAGAGGGGCATTGCTGGCACATGATGGCATATATCACATTGGTAGATGTGCAGGTGAATGACCCTCTGATGGTGTGGCTGATGTGGTTAGTTCCTATGATGATGTCCCTTAAATCGATATGCGGACAGAGTTGGCAATGGGGTTTGTTGCAGGGACTGGTTCCTGGGTTAGTGTTTTTGTTGTGTGGTGTGTAGTTGCTGGTGAGTATTTGCTTCAGGTTGGGATTTCAAATGGCTTCTTTAAAAACCTATGCAAGTCTTTGAAATGTGCCCTTTAAATAGCTAGTCTCTCTTGTGGTGGTGTTGATGCATAATGATGTTTGATTTAGCCTGTTTGTACTCTTAACTTTTTAAGAGCTGTCCCTCAAGCACTGGATGGAGCTCAATATAATTGTGTTGTAAAGTAATGTTGAAAGCTCTTTAGAGTCCATCCAGAACAATTATACTTGGTTAGTCAGCATAACAGAGAGAAAAACAAAATCTATAAGTCCTTTCTTTGGAAAAAAACATTATGTGGTTCTTGACAAAGCATTGCAACTCCAAGCAACCAAAGTCACTTAAAAGAGCAGAATGACATTGTCACTCGGCCTGCTGCTCAGAGAACACAAACTCTCAGAGCCTCTTCCATTTGCAGAGACCAGTATTCTCCCATTCCCTTCTCTGAGGTTCTAGTGCAAATAAAAACTCCCAGGAGTCAAGGAAACTTATAATTTAAAATAGAATGGGAAAAAAAAATGTTTCCCTTGCTTGTTAGTGTATTTTTTCCCTAATGACCTCCATACCACATTGCAAACTTCATGTGATTGCCTCCTGTGCTTTCTGTAGTCCTTTTCCCCCCTCAACTTTCTTGTTTGCCTGGATATTTGCACAGAATCATATTAGATTTTTTTTAGTAAAAACAGACTGAGAATGTTTCTTTTATCAGCTTTCTTTTCTGACCTGATTCATTCATGAATTATAGAATCCATGTATTTTGCCATCATGATTAGCAATGGGCAAATCGATTCAGGTAGGAGAACCAGATTGGGACATTACGCAAAAGTTGAAATCAAACTAAAACTTGGACGTTTAGTTGGGTTTTTCCTTTCATTATTTTCTATTTCTGTATGATTATAAATTGCTGGGTTCCAGCTGGAACCCAAAGCAAAACCAAAAACCAGGAAATGATATTCTTGGAAACTTCCAAGCCCCTTTGCAGACCCATGGATTTAATACACTTGATATATGTTTTAGCAAACATCCAAACTTTTGGGGTTTAGCCAAACTGTACTTCCAAAATTTTGAGTTTTGGGACCAGTTCAAAAAATGATCCCAAAGTTGTAACTACACTATTACCCCCATGCAGCTATGATGTTTACTGAATATCCTGTAAAATAATATAACAATGTGCTTTTTAAGTGCACCCACTCCATAGAAGGATCCTCATATCCCTTTAAACCAGAAGTAACCAACAATGGACAAATTACTCCATTACAGTCACACTACAATAATAATTAATAATTAAAATTTAATAGAACAATAATTTATAAGTCTGTATAATTACAACCTGTTTCTTCAAATTAAGTCATGCACAATTCTTCAGGAATTTAACTTTATAGAACTTTGAAGGGGTTGTGTGATACTGTTTGTGAGTGAGAGGGACATAAATGTTAGACACTGCTCATATTTAAAAGTCAAAGTAATTTTTATGACCTGTAACCCAAACCTTTTTGGCTCATTTTCTTTAAACCTCTCAGGAAAATTCTCCTTATTAATTGGATTAAACCTGCCAATGTTCAGGTCAAGCTATATTTAATAGCAAAAGTTATAAGGTGGGCTAAAAGTATGGCTTATCACAGAATTTGGTTGCAGCCTTAACTACAAAGACAATACCTTCTCTGTATAATCATTTTCATTGAATGGTAGGGGCTCCTAAGGGTACCCATAAATAAGGAGCTGAAGAAAATGAAAGGCTGGTGTCATTATAGTTTTATTTCCTGCTCACGGTTGGACATGAGTTGTACTGACCTCTTAGCACTGAATTCTATAATAGCTATACAATTTACTTATGAGAACACTTCTTTTCAAAACCTTCATGTGAAATCCTGTCTGTGGGAAAAATTTATCTTCCTGACATGACAACCTCCCTATTATCTAACACAGCGCTGGCAGCCATGAACTCTGAATAATCTGAGTAAACTCCTCTCCTTTCTCATTCTTAACATCTTGCCTTTTTTGTGAATGGCCTTTCCTATCTCTCTGCTACATTTTTTCATATCTCTCACAAGAACCAAATCCAAATCTAAATCCAAATTAGCAGTTGAATTAATTAACAAGAATAAATAAGCCAAGCAGAAGTCTCCACATTAATTTTTCATTATTGATTATTATGTTTATATGGAATCCTTCTCATATTTTTGTGGTTTTTCTCATGCATCGCTCATCCATCCACTGAATTCCACCCTTACTACAGAACATCAGTAAAGATTATACTTTGGAAGCTTTTGCATAAAGATGTAACCATTTCCTGGGGAAGTTGATTGGGGATGGGACAGTAGAGTTTGTGTGGGGTTTTTTTGTTTGTTTTTTTAAGGGTTTTAGAGGAAAACATTCTATTTGAGAAGGCTCTGTTCATGCAGCAATTGCATATCTTAGCCTAGACAATTGCTTCACATCAGGACTTTTGAGAACAGCTTGGTGTTAACATTTTAAATGAAATACAGTGACACCTACTTTTTGTGATCTCATATATTGTGAAACTCATTTATAATAAATTAGAACATATGTTGAATCACTACAATGCCTTTTGGTATGCAGATTCCATTTACAGTAAACCTATGCTGAAGTCAATAGAAGGATTCCCAATCACTTCAGTAGGCTTTTGATTAGGCACAATAGGACAGTTGTTCTGGGAGAAACAATGATTTAATAATAAATGTTCTTTATTGTAACAGAATTCCTACTCTGAATTAAAGCCCAGCTTAATGAACCCTAGCCAATTCAGTCATTGCATATGAAACCCCTAGTAATATTTTACATTATTACATGAAAGTTTAAATATATATATGCATTGCATCCTCTTGTACTGTAGACATATTCTGTTTCCAGGGATCTGTATGTACAAATTCTAGGTAGGGAGCAAGATCTGTGGTTCAGAGTAGGGGTTTGAGTCAAATCAAAATGCCTGAGTTCTATTCTCAGCTCTACCACTGATTTGCTTTGCAACCTGTACTTCGGTATGCCTATCTATAAAATGGGGATAATAATAATTTCCCTCCTCATGTAAGTGTTTTGCAAATTTATATTTTCAAGTCAGTTAATTAAATAATCTTCAAAAATCACCGCCAAGTTGAGGTGTTTGCATCTTAAATGCAACTGTAAAATATCACTTTTGATAAGTGCACTCACATATTCTGCATATCAAAAAGGACTGTTAATATTCATACAATTTAACAATTGATTGATGGATGAATGACATTTTCTGAGATAGAGCAGGACTGAAAATTATGCAACATCTCACCAGGGCATGGTGAAAAGTTAAGGAAGTTCTCAGTAGCAGCAAAGCT